TCAGGCCGTCTGCACCGAACTGCGGAGAGTCTCTCGTGACCCGATCTGGAAGTCTGAGATTTGAAACTTAATAGCAGCTCTGAGGACACAGTGCAGAGGGAGGCTGCCTTTCCGACTCGAACGTATTTTAATAAATCTGGATGATATCACAGTCAGGATCATCATGTTAGTCTACCACCTTACAACCGTTAGCACTCATTCGACCCTCCTCAACCGCCCTGGGAGGCGGGCAGGCGCAGTGCCCGCTGCTTTACAGATGAGGAAGCTGAGTCCGGCGAGGTAAGGGAGTTTGCCCAAGATCACGCAGTAAATAAAAGACTGCAGCACTAGGTCTAGAAGCCAAGTGTTTTGACTTCTAATCTATAGTACTTAAAAAATAAAATAAAATAAAACATGGCCATGGTTTGGTCTAGGGACCCAAGAGCAATGGAGCGAGAGACAGTGTCTGTGGGTCTGGCCCTTGCAGGACAGACTGCCCCCAACAGCAACAGGCGACGCGGGTGAGGCGAGGGGTGACTGGCACAGTGCATATCCTTCCCACCCCCGAGAAAACACATCACCTACAAGGGAGCAGATGAGGTGTCCCAGCGACGCTCGGGAATCCGGGTGAGAGTCCGCGAGCTGGCAGCTCAAACCTACCAGTGGGCCTGTGCATCCGTGTGCACAGAGCCTCTGCGGGCGCCCACGATAACAAACTCACACCCTCCTCTCCTCTCTGCTCGGGCACGTGGAAGTCAACTTGTTCAGCATAATTCAGACTCCAAACCAAGTATAAAAGAGGTGGGCAGGAACCAGGACCCTGGGCCATGAGGGAGACGCCGGGTCTTTGTCCCGGGTCAGTGGTGATGCTGTGAGACTGGCATTTCTACAAAATCGCTCCGTGTGGAGAATGAATGGGGAGGAGACAGAATGAAGGCAGAGCCCAGGCGAGAGCGGAGGTCACTGGGAGGAGGTGACTGGGAGTAGTATCAGAAATAGAAAGGGGATGGATTTGAAAACTAGGATTCGGGAAAACAGGAGAATTTCACAGTTAATTATGCATGAGTGAGGGTGGTTGGGGAGAGGGAAGGAGAAAATATGATGTAGCCTCATGAAGAGATGGCAGGTTTCTTGGGTAAATAAGAACGTCTTGAGGCTGAAAAGATGATAGCCAAACTCCGCCAGGGCTCTGGCTGCCTGAGAGCTCGTGCCATGTGTCACCTCTGCGACCAGGCTAAGGGCCAGTCCACTGCATGGAAATACGGCCCTGAGTCTGGGTATATTGTGATATACATCTCACATAAAGTTTCAGATTGTCCTGAGTTTTCTAGGGGTCCTGGTAAATGTGGATGCCTTGTCTCTGGCCCCTGCTCTTGGGGTGAACAGCTCAGCTCATCCAGGAAAAGGTGGGGCACAGCCCACCGAGAACCAGCATGGGAGACCTTCACTCCCTCCCTCCTAAGAGGTGGTGCCTTCCACGTAAAGATCCACCCAAGGCCACTATTTACCTTATAGGTGGAATTTTTTGTATCTTAAGCACCAGGAAAAATGGCAAAACAACACCTGATTATCTAAGCTTGCCTTAAATAGCTACTCCAGTCCGGCCGGTCTGGCTCAGTGGTTGAGCATCAACCCATGCACCAAGAGGTCGCCAGTTCGATTCCCAGCCAGGACACATGCCCAGGTTGTGGGCCCGATCCCCAGTCGGGGGCATGCAGGAGGCGGCCAATCGATGTTCTCTCTCATCGATGTTTCTCTCTCTCTCTCCCTTTCCCTTCCTCTCTCTCTAAAATCAATAAAGGAAAAAAGAATTTTTTTAAAGAAAGAGTTAAAAAAAAAAAGCTACTCCAACATTACATTAAAATTAGTCAAATTTGGAAGCAATTACCAAAATGATAATAATAATAATGGTAATGATAATGAAGTGCATCCTATAAGGTGCGTTTTGGGCAGCCAAAATGAAAACAAAATCCAAATTACACTATTTCCTAATTTCTGTATGTCTAGTCACTTAGGATTGCTTGAGTCACGTCAGAGGACAATGAATAGCCTCCCTTGTTCTGTAGCAATCTTTGCTTTATTGAAGGGTGGGGTGACCTTTTCCAAGAAGCACAATGGGGCTACAAAGCACCGCTAGGCAAGGCAGGCAGAACGTCCGCACACCTGCACACTCTTTCCACCAGCCCAGAGCCCGGTTCAGTACAGCTCGGCACCAGCACTGCTAACCTGGGCACGGTGCCAGCGGGGTACAGCCAGAACAATTCAGCATGTTGCTGGCTTCTTCCGCTTCCTAAAAACAGAAGTTACCACACACACAAAATAATACAATGGTAAAGAAAAGTAATGCATGTTTTCTCCCTGCCCTTAAAGGGCAAGCAGGCACAGGTCTTCGGGGAGCTAACCTGTGCATTTAACCATGGAGGAGAGAGGGACTGTAAAAGACGTCTTGGACATGGACACGTCACACGGCTTTTTGGTGTGCACATCTACCAAATGTGAAAGAACCTTCGGCTGTTATGGGCTAGAAGGCAAGGCCAGGAGACAGCCTGCTGACAACCTCGAGTATATGCAAGTGCGTGCATGTGTGTGTGTGTATGCATGTGCGTGTGCGTGCACACACGGTTTTCTGCTATGACTTGCGGCCAGGATTAAAGTAAACCTCGCAATCAAGCAAGAGTTCACTTGTCAGGCCAACAGCACACTTCAGGTTTTGCACTTACTGGATTTGATTACACAATAGCCATCCTGTCCGGAATAAAATGTGCCGTGTGGCTGGTCTCCACTGGACTAAGTTAATGATTTGCAATCCATTGCCCTCGCTCGAAGCCTGCAGACACTGTGGAGAAATATTCACTTTCATTCCCAACTCGAACCTGATAAATACATGCTCACAAAGCAGGATGAAGGCACCTTGACACTCATCTTGGAGCCTACATGCAAACCTGAAATGAGCTCTGGGCTCAGAAACAAATGAACTGAAAGCAAGAAACAGTGTTATTTGAGGTAAAGCCTTTCTAAGGAGACTCAGACTCCACAGTGGCCTTGGAACCAGGATCCGTTTCGCATCTCTGTCCACAGACCACAAGAGCAGGGGTGGCTAATTAATGACCACAGGGGAGCGTGCAGACCAACGCTCCATGAAGGGTTGACGGTCTGAGGCATGGCTACAGTGAGCAGTGGCCGCAAATCACCTGTCCTTCACAACTTGTGTGGACCGCTTCACGTGTGATTATATACCTTCGGAACAGCCGCCAACTACACAGAAAGAGATATTCAAACGCATTTTACAGCCACCCGTTATTAGTTTACTATTAAGTAAAAGAAAAGAAACACTGAACCCAATAGGTGATTCCTAACCAAACCTACATTTGTCTTGGCCCCGGAAGTAATGACATTGGTACCAAGTGCATGTGGCACCCATGACACTGGGGGCAAAGAGCAATGACCCCAACTGAGAACTTACATACTGAGCCTCAACCAAAATAAATAAATAAACAAAAGGCCCACCGATGCCCTGACGAGAGGGTAGTGGAGCAGTGTGGGGCCTCGGAAAAAAGGGCCCAGGAGGGAAGACAGCGGGGCTTCTGGTCAGGCAGGACGCCTGCCTCCAAAAAGGAAGTGACAAGAACTTTCGATCTCGAGGACCTCTCTCAGCTTAGGACAACTGTGGGACACACCGGCTCCGTGCGGACGGCTCCGTGCAGACGTGCCCCGTGGAACGTGAGCGGGACTGCTCCCGCCCTCCTCCCTGCATTCTGCCAAAGCCCTGCGTGCTCAGGGGACTCCGGGAGAGATGCGGGGTTCCACCTCCAGACCTCCCAAACCCAGGGGACCAAGGGTGCCTCCCATCCGTACCCCACCGAGGAGCAGAAATGAAGGCACCCGGGCGGGAGGTTCACTCCTGTCGCCTGCTGATCTCTGGTGCGTGCAGCATCGCACTGTTCCCCACACGGAGCAAAGTCTGAGGGACCAAAGCACCGGAGGGCGAAGCCCCGCTACTGGATGCTGGGGCTGGAGCTGGGCCCCGTTGTCGCACAGTCCCCCACCAACCGCTCCGGCAGCATCTCGGCGGGACTTTGTTGAGATATAATTCACACTGTCACCCCTGCCTAAAAGCCTCCAAATGGTGCTTATATCATATTTGTGTCAAACATTTGTGCACTTCACTGTTATACTTGAATTTTAAAACTTTTTTTTGGAAACACATCCTTCAGCATTTTGGAAGTAAACCCCAACCTCCTTCCCAGGGCCTGCAAAGGCCCCCCAGACCTGCCCTGCCAAGGGGGCACAGCTGCTCACTATGCTGAGTCTCGCGCACTTTCCTCTGGTCCTCCGAGCCTGTGCCACACTGCCCCTCCTCACCCACTGGCTTCGGGGGAGACATTCCGTGGAGAAGCCTCCAGCCTACATCCAGTCCCTGGTTCTCCCTCGTCTCCATTCCGTCCCTTCGCAGACTTAGTCATCTGTGGCTTTGTTTACTGTCTCCCTCCGTGAAACCAGGAACTGGGCTGCCCTGTTCCCCAACCGACTTCCTGCTCAGAGTACTGAGTCTGGCACATTTAGGGTGCTCAGACTCCTTCTGGAACCAAAGGGTGCCCTCCAGCAGCATGTCTCCGTGCCTCAGTTTCTTCATCTGTAAGGTGGGCACCACCCCTGTGGCAGATGTGCCATGAGCGGGTGCTGGGGACAGCCTCCCCTCTCCTTGTTCCCAAGTTAAATAAGTAACTTTGTCCACGTGAGCAATTGTGGAAAGACTGCGGACTGCTAATCATTAGCCACTAAGGAAATAGGACCAGTTCCTCTCCTCGGACTCCCCTGCGCGGCCCCTCCACCTGCTTTCTTGAGGCCGAACCAGTGGAGCCCCTTTACCTGCTCCTGAAATCGGGGCTGGAACTTGCACGTTGAGACCGTTCCAAGACCCCCTCTCCCACTGACTATGTTATTCCAAGTCATGTTTTACCAAGTTTAGACCCCAGAGGGCTGCTCGTGTGTATAAAAGTGAGATGGCAAAAACAGTTTACCTATGATGTTCACCGTACTATCCACTTCATTTTTTATAGCTGAAGTCAGGACCGCGTACTCAGGAGAAAGATCACTTATTCCATTACTAAGCCCCAAAGATGACTCAACTGGTTCTTGCTAGGAAGAAGAAAAGAAAAAAGAATTGAGAACACTTCCTTTCCCCTCCCTCTTCTCCCCTCTGCCGACTTTTTGCAATGCCAGGGTGGTGGCCCTGTTCTCCCCGTGAGCCTGGGGCGGAGGAACGCCCGGCCCGCCTGCAGAGCTGCCCCGCAGACGGGACTGCAGGGCTCAGCTGAGCTGCGCGGGGTCCCACCGGCCTAGATCCCAGTCTTCCCTCTCGGGGGGAGGGGGTGCCACCTCTCTTACAACGATTTCTAAGGAAAAGCTCCCTCCATTTCTGAGGAAAATGCCTCCACCAGTGGCCCAAGGACAGGGACCCAGAGGACACTGCGGATGAATTCTTCTCAGATAAGGTTTTCCCTGGACTCTGGCCCCGCGCATCCTGTCCGGGGTGGGTGGCTGGTAACCCGGCCAGACTCGCAGCCAAGGCCTCCCCCCCAGATGGAGTCCCATGGAGTGACCCCACGCCCCCAGAGAAACGCCCTTGCAGTGCCTGAGTGTCCGAGGGGCTGCAGATTCGTGCTAAGGAGACAATGAGACCATCTCCCCTTCCTCAGGACAGCTCCTCAGTTCTGCTTTCTCCTGCACACTGCACCCTCCAGCCCGAGGGTGCCCACCAACCCAGGAGGGCCAGCCCGAGGGTGCCCACCAACCCAGGAGGGCCAGCCCGAGGGTGCCCACCAACCCAGGAGGGCCAGCCCGAGGGTGCCCACCAACCCAGGAGGGCCAGCCCGAGGGACACCGACTTCCAGCACTGTGATGAGGGAGCAACTCCTCGGACGGAGTGAGGCTGCACTTGTGTCTGGGACAGCGAAGGAGTCAGACAGAAAAAGAAAGCCACACAGGACAAGGCCTTTGGGAAACCAACATGGAGAGGCGGGCGAGGGGCGGAAAGAACACAGGACGGACGGGAGCAGAAGATCCAGTGAGGCCGTATGGCTGTGCTTTGAAAAGTTCAGTGTTGTACACCTCTAAGGCATGGGGCCATTTTTATCCATTTATCTGTGCGCTACTTGGAATCCATAATGAATCCCCCCAATGAAGTGGCTTAGGGGTCACATAGGGAAGGGGAGGGAATGCCCCCTCCTTCATGATCCTAGCTGGCAAACTCCTACCACAATAACTACAACGTCAAAGACATTACTTCACTGTAAAGCTCAGTTCTGAAAGAATCATCACACACTGCATGGTTGCCCGAGAGCACCAAAGCGGGGGAACCACAAGGGTCCAGGACAGCCTCCTGGACAGAACTGTCACCCCCTCTCCTGCAGCCTCCTGCATCGTCCCCTCTCTTACAAGTGTAAATAAGAAGTGTGTCCTTTCTAGGAAAAACTCACTTGCCGGTGACTCATGTCACCCTCTTTTCTCTTCCTTTAAACCAAACTTCTGAACAAGCCCCTGCTTTCCCCAGCCTCGTCTCTGTGCCCTGGCTGGAGCCTGCGGTCTCGGTCTCGCCGCCACTCCACTTGCGGGACTGAGCTTCGGGACCCCTGGGGCCTGGGTCGGAAAGACAGGCCTGGTTCCGCAGGCGCGCGGACCTGGGTGGGAAAGACAGGCCCGGTTCCGCAGGCGCGCGGACCTGGGTGGGAAAGACAGGCCCGGTTCCGCAGGCGCGCGGACCTGGGTGGGACAGACGGGCCCGGTTCCGCAGGCGCGCGGACCTGGGTGGGAAAGACAGGCCCGGTTCCGCAGGCGCGCGGACCTGGGTGGGAAAGACAGGCCCGGTTCCGCAGGCGCGCGGACCTGGGTGGGAAAGGCAGGCCCGGTTCCGCAGGCGCGCGGGCCTGGGTCGGAAAGACAGGCCCGGTTCCGCAGGCGCGCGGGCCTGGGTCGGAAAGACAGGCCCGGTTCCGCAGGCGCGCGGACCTGGGTCGGAAAGACAGGCCCGGTTCCGCAGGCGCGCGGACCTGGGTCGGAAAGACAGGCCCGGTTCCGCAGGCGCGCGGACCTGGGTCGGAAAGACAGGCCCGGTTCCGCAGGCGCGCGGACCTGGGTCGGAAAGACAGGCCCGGTTCCGCAGGCGCACAGACCTGGGTCGAAGCCCGGCTCCTCCACTCTCACCTCTTTGTGTCTCTCTTGGGGCATGGAGGACAGCTGAAAACTGAGGACCACAACAGGACCCGTGTCATAAGGACGACGTGGAGACAAGGAGATAACCATGCACCTGGCACTTATTAAAAATGCTCATTATTATCTACAGCCGCCAGTAAAACTCTGCCTGCCCCAGTCCAGTAACTTTTCCTGGGTCCGCTCCCTGGAAGCCGCACTCGGACACTCAGCAGGAAGGCTGCAGGCCGTCCTGATGAGACGAACTCCTGGCGCTGCTGCAATTCTCCACCTTTCTGGTGGCACCTTCCTTCCTGCGCTCATCAGCCCTGAGAGGTGGTCATCTAGCTTATCTTGGAACAGTTTCCGATGGACCCTCTGCATGTCCCCCTCCCCAATTGTGCTTCAATTACTTCCACTCCCTCCGTTCTCAAAAGCGACTACAGAACATCTGAAGGAATTATGGAAAGAACCACTAATTTTCATGAGTTTCTTCTGTTGTCTTTAAGCTATTTTTACTCATTCAGCTTCTAGGTTTCTTATCAAAGTGATGAGGCAGTCAGACTTGCGTATATTTAAAAAGCTACATTATTCCGATTTCTCAATTGAGGACCTCTCCGTGTTTCACATGATCTACAGTTTAATTAGAGGCAAGTGATACTTTGTCACTTTACGCTTGAGAAAACTATGACTCAGAGACTAAATTAATTTTCCAAGATTGCACTACTTTTAGCCTGCAGAGACACCGGAACTGAACTCAGTCTATGATCTGCAACACGGTCTGGTTCCAGGCGCTTTTCCTCTTAATCAACCCTGCATCCCATACTAATTCCAGTGGGGACTGAGACAGAACTATCTTCAGCCTCGTTGACCCCCGTGACCCCTACCTTGTATCCTGTATGGCTTCTATAGAGGAGCAGAACACTGTTTTCTTCCTCCCGTCCTGTGAAGGGATCCCTCTACTATCAGCCCTGACAGGTGGTCACCTAGCCTCTCTTGGGACAGTGTCAGGGAGCTCAAGTCACTGTTAGAGTCGACAGCTCCATTACTAAGCTCTGCTACACCTTCACTTGCTTTCTGTGACTTCTCCCCAGGGCTCTGCATTCAGAACCAACACAGACCACACCTCCCCCGCCCATACCCAGCGCCTTCAGAGGTCCTCCTGGATTCTATTTCCCACCATAACACCAACTCTTTGATCTGAAAGCACTTGGTAGTTTCAACATTCATCTTTCATCTGCTGACACCCCTTTGAGGCAGGAAGAATTAATTTCTGATCCTCCCGCCCTACCTGCCTTTGTTTCCCATTGCTATTTCACACAAACTCCTGCTCTAATTATGCCAGTTTCCTGGCTCATCCATTGAAGACCAAACAGCAACTCTAAGCTCCAGGCCTTCCTGTACGATGCTCCTGGGTGCTGGAGAATGGCCTCCACTTTATTCGATCCATCCCCCAGGGCCTGGCTCAGATCCCACAGCCTCTGAGCAGCTGGGAGGCCCTGAGTGTGGGGAAAGACCACGAGTTCTGGGGTTGGACTAAGGTGGATTAAAACTCCAGCTCTATGAAGCAGTTCAACTTCAGGAAAATTACTCAACCTCTCTGTGCCTCCATTTCCTCGTGTGTGGAAAGGAGACAACCTGCCCAACACAAGGCACACTAACTGAGATGATGACAGAGCCTAGCACTGGGTGGAGGCCCCAAAACGTCAGCTACCACGCTTCTGCTTTACCCACTTCTGTCCTTATTGATCTTGACCTTGCAACATTTTAGAAACACCTATTTGCATTGATAATGTACAGTCTAGCATTACTCACTGTTGTGTTCCTGATTTTTACTTCCTTAGACAGCCAGTGACCTCCGTGCAGGTGACTTAGGTCAAGTGAAAACGGCTCACCAAGCACACAGGATATGCTCAACATGAGAATGTCGGGGTTAGGGGGCAGCATGACCAGGGGCCTCGGGTCTGCCAGTCTCAGGGAAGCTATTTGCTGAGAGAACACATGGCCTGGAGATGAACTGCCTGCGTGACCAAGAAGAATTCCGACCGCGGGCCCACATGCTCTGCACAGGAGCATCCTTTGCTAGCCAAAGCCGCAATCCAACTTGAATTGAGCGAAGCCTGGGAAGAGCTTGCTTCAGATGCAAACGTCCTTACCTAGTTACGCCACGCAAGCCACGTGTCTCAGTGGAAGGAGCCTATCTAGTCTGTCCAGTGGCGTATCTGCACTGGACACACTAACTCAGAGCTTAGGTGTTTTCACATGCAACAGAAAAGCAATGTCTCACTAGCTCAGTAAGGATACAGTCCCTGATGATACAGTTGCAGACGACCAGGAGAGTGTACTTTGGAAATACCCTTCAAGGACTAAGAGAACACCGTGGCATTCGCGGTCACGGGCCACAGAACTGGGGAGGCCTCAACCTCTGCTCTACTGTTGGACAGGTGCACGCAGATTTAAACTCAGAAGGCGAGTCACCTGCCTCTTGCTGAAGGAACAACGTCCCTTTGAGGGGCGAGTTTCCAGTCTTAACCATATCTTCATCGCAGGAAGATTGCACAAGGCACACTTTGCTGGGATGAACTTGACCCGCACGGCTGCGCCTGAGAGAGAACTCTCACTTGCTTCCCCGGCTGATATGGCCAAGCCCCACCCAGGGCCAGGCCTTCCACGGCGCGCTTGTCTGAGTGGCCACGTGGAAGACACTGCCATTGCCGATGTGACTGCAGGTGTCCTTTACTTATGAGAACGCCACGTGTCATCAATTCCGAGACACACACTTGCACATCTCAACAGGGATGTGCTTTACAACCAGTTATGTGTCCTGGTTTCAGGGCAAGCCATTTTTCCTGCTGAGGGATACATAAAAGAATGACGTATCCGATCATCATTGGCATTGCACAGTCTGTTGAAAAGTGAGCATCTATTACTCCATTATTATTTCTCCATTCACTGAGATTATGAAATGAAATCTGCATTCTCACATAAAACCCCCACTCCTACCCCACGTGTTATATTTATTTATGCATCTACTTGATCATAAACACTCCTGCGTGTACTCAGCGACCATGTATGCACCGATTCTCTGTCCTGTACCAGGCACTGAGCTAGATGCTGGGACAACAGCGGTAAACAGGATCAAGTCATTACAGCAAATTCTTCAAACTCACGTATCTGTGGGGAAGTTACACTTTTCTGAATAAACAACACAAATCAAAATGTAGCCCCTAAAAAACGACAAACTATGGTAAACTTGATACAACTACTGACTAGGCTTTTTTCAACTGCAAGAAAAATTTTAATTGTTTTAAAAAGTGATGTAGGGGAGACCTGTAAATTAAAAAACACTTAGAGACATATCCAAAAATCACAATGTGTGGCCCTTATATGAATCTTAATTCAAGTAAACAGACTGTGCAAAAACTGTAACCTTTAGGAGACAACTGGAAAGTTGGACACTGGATATTTGATGACACTCGGGAACTGCTATTAATGTTTTCAGATGCAGTCATGATACTGGGCCATCTTTAAAGACTGCCTATCTCTTAAAGATATATACTGAAATATTCATGGAGGAAATGATAGGACGTCTAGAAATTTGTTTCAAAATATTGAGCTAAACCATATGAAATTGAATAGCTGTAATTTTGTATCAGATATAGGTAAGTAGGTGGAAGGGCTTAATGAAATCAAATGGCCATGAGCTGATTAATATAGAAATTGGGGTGGTGGTGTACAGAGTAAATTTTACTCATTTGTCTCCTTCCTGTGTGTATAAAATTTTTCCACAATAAAAAGTTAAAACAGCCCTGGCCTGTTTTGCTCAGTGGTTAGAGCGTCGGCCCATGGTCCAATGAGTCTCGGGTTAGATCCCGGTCAAGGGCACGTACCTCGGCTGTGGTTCATCCTGGCCCTGGTCGGGGTCATGTGGGAGGCAACCAGTTGATGTGTCCCTCCCACACTGATGTTTCTTTCTCTCTCTCTCCCTCTTCCTCCCTCCCTCCCTCCCTCCCTCCCTCCCTCCTACTTATCCAATGATAAATGGAAAAATTATCCTCAGGTGAAGATTTTTTAAAAAGTTAAGCCCTGGCCGGTTCAGCTCAGTGGTTAGAGCATCAGCCTGTGGTCCAGAGAGACTGGTGTTCGGTTCCCACTAAGGGCATGTACCTCAGTTGCAGTTTGTCCCCAGCCCTGGTTGGGTTGTGTGGGTAGCAGCCACTTGATGTGTCCCTTTCACGTTGATGTTTCTCTCTCTCTCTTCCTCTCTCTCCCTCCTATTCTGTCTGAACAAAAAATGGGAGAATGTCCTCGGGTGAGGATAAAAAAAGAAAAAAAAAGGTTAAAACAAAATTGGCCCTTACACTATGCTATATTTAAAATAAGTCAAAAGCTAAAAATACTGAAAATGAAACTGAAGGTATGGCTATTAAAATACTCTGCCTATGCCCTGGCTGGTTTGGCTCAGCGGTTAGAGCGTTGGCCTGTGGTCCGGAGAGACCCGGGTTCAGTTCCCGCTAAGGGCACGTACCTCGGTTGCAGTTTGTCCCCGGCCCTGGTCGGTCGTGCGGGTGGCAGCCACTCGATGTGTTCCTTTCACGTCGATGTTTCTCTCTCTCTCTGTTCCTCTCTCCCTCCCTCTCTACCTGAACAAAAAATGGAAAAATGTACTCGGGTGAGGATAAAAAAATAAAATAAAATAAAATAAAATAAAAAACTAATAAAAAATAAATAAATAAAATACTCTGCCTAAAATATTTGTTTTCTGTTGCAGAGGTAAATATGCCTGAAACATTAACTATTTATCTAAGATTTCCTTCCAACTCTGAACTACCTTCATAAGTCCAACTTTAACTTTACATCTGAAGTAGATTTTTACTTTTTTTTTCTCCCTAGTTTAACTAACTGCCTTATTTTTAAATATTGTACTGTCTGTTTTTCCTTCAACAGTTATTCTAGATTAGAAATCAGAATGCTTGGCATCTCCTTTAATTTACGTTTGAAATAACGGTGTGACCTTGGCCACCTGTCCGCAGCCTCTGGGTCCACGTCCCTCAGCTCTCTTGAGCCTCAGCTTCTTCATCTGCAGACAGTGCGCAGTGCACCAGACAGGCGTCCCCCGACGGTCCCGAGTCTGGCACTGCAGTGTCTGCACCCGCCCAGGGACGAGGCCGATCCTCAGCTTTGCACGGGACACCTGACTATCCTCTGGCTAGTTAGTAAGGGCTACCCGATCTACACACAGAGATCCTCACTGCAGGGATTTCAGCCTGCACGGCCCACTGAAAAGCCCACACACAAACACAGCCCTATGGAAAGCCTTTGGGAATGATGAGAGCTGGTTTCACAGTGGAGTGGAAAAGAACTACTGAGATCCACACCAGTACAGCATTTGATCTCACCTCTGGACCCCCGCCTAATAGTCTGCATTGGAATATATCTATAAAATACAGGTAACACATTTTAATACACGGATATAATATTGAACATATTTTACAATATGTCTAATAGCCTGAGAAAGCACTTAATATTCTCAGATAGTAGCTGGTTGCTGGTGCTAAGTGACCAGCTGGCCACAGCATGGAGACCAGAGGGCGGCTGAGACTGTCCAGCTCAGTGTGGATGTGTGACTTCATTCATACATCCTCAGTGAAGCTGGATGACGCAGGGTATGTGTACCTGAGTCTGCACGTGGGTACATGCCAAAGAGGAGATGTGTAAAGCATATGAAACACAAAAGCAAAAGAACAAAGATCAAATACTTCACAGAGGTCCCGTTATTTGTTTTTATGAGACAGAATAGGAATCATAAGATGGTCACAACTTCTCCCTGAACAACCAAAGATTACCTTGATGTGCTTAACTCTGTCTTCTTTTTCTGTCTTTGGTTTCTTTCCTGTGGCAACAGAAAACAGTTCTGGATCAATGCATGAAGAACAGACAGAGAGCCCTGGCCGGTTTGGCTCAGCGGTTAGAGCGTTAGCCTGCGGTCTGGAGAGACCCAGGTTCGGTTCCCGCTAAGGGCATGTAACTTGGTTGCAGTTTGTCCCCGGCCCTGGTTGGGTCGTGCGGGTGGCAACCACTCGATGTGTCCCTTTCACGTCGATGTTTCTCTCTCTCTCTCTCTCCCTCCCACTCTATCTGAACAAAAAATGGAAAAATGTCCTCGGGTGAGGATAAAAAAAAAAAAAAAAAAAAAGAACAGACAGAGAAACATGCCAGCTAAGTTAAATGCTGTCTAAACCTCTCCATGAACCTGTACACATATTAATATCTGTTCGTGGCGAAAATACCAAATCTTTTACTGCCTTTGGTGCCCTGAGGGTCATTTCCCCCAGCTAGGTAAGGGCAGAATCTTCCTGCACAGAGTGAACTGCACATGAGGAATCAAGAAATCACAAAGGTACTACAGTATATATCAAGTGATCATTGTGTTAGCAAATCTCTTTATCTACCTTTTTTAGAAGGCCGCTCAGATAAGGGCAACATCCGGTATACTCTGAAGGCGTTATTTCCTTTCTTTATACTTTTATCCTTGACTTCCTCAATATCAGGCAAGGAGTTCATGGCACACCGAAAATTCGCCTTCCATGTTTTTGGATCAGGTTTATCCACTCCTGGTTGATGCTTTCCTAACAAAATAGCCAGAAGAATTAAGGTTAAGGAAAAGAGGGGAAAAAATAAACACAGAGTAAACATTTCTGGAAACGGGACTGGCTAGTGGGATTGCTAGCCAAGTAGCACAGAGAACCAACCCTCTGACTCTCAGGCTGTGCCTACAGTGACCAACGTCCGGGTTTGCCTGGGGCTGCAAAGGTTCTTGGGATGTGGGCATTTTTGTTTTAAAATGTGGACAGTTCCAGGCAAACTGGTACAAGCTGGTCACCCTGACTTTACCAAACAGCTTGGGAATAGATAACAATGGCAGAAGCATGGGGAGTCAATGTAAATAACACAGAAAGCTGGAAGGCTGCCCTGGCCAGTTTGGCTCAGCAGTTAGAGCGTCGGCCTGCGGTCCAGAGAGACCCGGGTTCGGTTCCTGCTAAGAGCACATACTTCGGTTGCAGTTTGTCCCGGGCCTTCGTTGGTCATGTGGGTAGCAGCCACTCAATGTGTCCCTTTCGCGTCGATGTTTCTTTTTCTCTCTCTCTCTCTCTCTCCCTCCCTCTCACTCTATCTGAACAAAAAAATGGAAAAATGTCCTTGGGTGAGGATAAAAAAAAAAAAAGAAGGCTGGAAGGCTGAGAGGCCAATGACCACAGACAACTGTAGTGTCTCTTTTTCATCTGACTCAAATACTAAATAAAAAGTCCATTCCTGTAAATAGCTCCCTACTTAAATTTTGTTGTAAATAAATATGTCCTTGACTGCCTTTGGTGGAGATAAGTTCAACTCAAGTTTATAGCTGGAGAAGAGATAAGTTCTTTATGACCCTGGTGCACAGTTCGGGAACTTAACCAGAATTCTAGGTTACAGGAAATCTAAGGACTAAGTTTCTGTGGAATGGGTGGACATCACTTCTGAGTGATCAAGTTTGTGACCATGTGTCCTGGATGTGCCTGGGGACAAGTCACAGGTTCTTCAGAGCTGTCTTCATGAGACCATAATCCAGGAGATCTTACATAAGCAGTGAAAACAAAAAACACTGTATTGTGTACCTGAAATTTGCCGAGAGTAGAACTTAAATGTTCCCAGTAAAAAAACAACAACAACAAATAATTAAAAGATAAATATGGGAGGCAATAAATGTGCTAATTAACTTGATGGGGGGCATCCTTTCACAAGGATCACGTATATCAAATCATAACTTTAAATATCTTATAATTTTATTTGTCAATTAGACCACAATGAAAAGAAAAAAAAGCATGAAACCAACACAATAGTGCTCCTATCAACAATGCAGGGGTCTTAGTACCTGTATGGATTGCCCAGTTTCTAAAGAGCGGTGCATCTTTTTCCACATCCCACCCGTGTCTGGCTGCATGCATCCAGGGGATCTGAAAGATCTTCTTCTCCTAAAAAAAAAGATAAATAAGAACTGTAGCCATGGGTTTCAGGCCACCACTGTGGAGGGTTCTTAAGTTCTAGCTGGTAATAGTCCCCAGGAGGTATCACTGGGCTTGCTGAGTTTCCACGGTAAAATCTACTGCAAACCAAACCACTTCCACACTGGGCCCCACACCTTGACAGCCTACCCAGGTGAGAGTCAGAGTCGTGCGAGGTCTGGCACAACAGGAACGTATTCCGAGGTCACGGGTGATGATTTGGGATATGCCCATGTGTTCCATTACCTGTGTCACTTTTCTTTAAAATAAACCAGACACCTGTCTTCTGACTTTCCATGCTTATTCTTATCATTTATTTCCATCATTTGGTAAAGAGGAACTCCAGATGCCTCCGTATTAAAAATCAGGCAGCTCTCCAAAGTAACCCCCACTGATGCTGCAGAAAGGAAGTCGGCTGCATGGACCCACCCTTCCGGAGACCAACTGATCTCAATGGGCTCGGGCAGCCAGCAGAAGCAGGAGACTGACGCCTGTGCTCTCGCCTCCACGAGCCCACCGCCCGCACGAACTAGCCAGAGCTACAAAGGTGCATCTTTTTGGAGCAAAGTCCCTCAATCAGATTCTTCTATCAGACCCTTTCCGTCTCCCTTACAGCCCCAGAGGCAACCCAAAACTGCTGAAATCGACCCCGGCAAACACGACTAGAAACTAGGGCTTTGGAAACAAAGTCACACTCATGGCAAAACTGCATGTGTAACTGGTCCAGCCGGCAGCACCAGCAGTCACTGAGGTCTCCTGGCACCTGACACTTGACTGCGCGCGCTCACGTGACCGCAGTTTCGCTTTCTGCAACCACCTAATGAGCTACATATATGTTGTTATTTCCGCTTCACAGTTGAAGGAGCTGAGCAACAGAATTAAATTATTTAGCCAAGGAACTTATAATAATAGTGCCTCAACGCCAAGCCGAGGTCAGGTGACCCCCCTTCAATCATTCGCCACAGCACACCTGTCTCCCAGTGTTTGAAGGTACAAGATTCCCAGTTCTACTACAGATCTGCTGACTTGAATCCTGTAGAGATTAAAGTGCAGGGAAATGTATTTTTTTAAGCTTTCAAGCTACTTCTGGGAATTCCCAGGCCTGGGATCCCTGCACAATACATGGGGAAGGAAAGAAAAATGTCAGCAGGGATCTTCCGCCACTTGGGTCTCGCAGTGAAAATTTTAGAAATGGTCCCAGCTGCACAGAACCAATTGCAAAGCCTGAACTAAAAGCATTTCAGGACGTAGGAGAGTTCCCCAAAAACTGTTAAAGGGGAAAATTCTGCTGTGTTTAAAACTCAGTAAATAAAGAAGAACCGAAAGCGAGAGACTTTTCATAAACCCCTCCCACTGGTTCTGTGACTAACTCCGAGACAGCAGCGGTTCAGGTTAGTCATTTCCCAAAGGGCAGTCATCAGAAAAGGCCTGAGTGAAATTTCTTCTCTGAATGCTGATGAAAATCAGAAAGGCAATCACTTAATGTAGTTTTTGATGTTCACAAGGAAATGAAAATGACCTTATTTCAGTGAAAGAGCATTTCCTGAAGTGCACGACCAGCATCTAAAGGTTTACGCTTCAAGATACAGACCCTTCAAGAATTTGCTGCTGTACTTTTTTCTAGGTCAGATGAGTTCTGGGGAGACAATCTGACATCTACCTCATAAGACGCAGTCCATTCTGATAAGTAGAGGTTTTCAAGCGTCTGAGTGCCTGCAGGTGGACACACACCCCAGCCAAACCCATGCCCAAATCGTGAAGCTACCAAAGTAATGACTGCACTTAGCAATCATCCACCACGGATCCGCTTGAAATGGGCAAAGGACCCGAGGAGATAGAATAAATGGCCAATAAGCACATCAAGAGACGATCAGCACCACTAATCATTAGTGAAACGCAAATCAAAACAGTAATGAGATACCAGTTCTCACCCACTAGGATGGTTAAAATAAAACACACAAAATAATTAGTGTTGGTGACCATGTGGAGAAACTGGGACCACCATACATTGCTGGTGGGATGTAAAATGGGGCACCTTCTGTGGAAGACAATTTGGTTGTTTCTCAAAAAGTTAAACCCAGAGCCCCCACAGGACCCAGTAATCTCACTCCTGGATATATACCCAAAGAAGTACAAATAGGTGTTCAAACAAACATTTATACCTGAGAGTTCAGAGCAGCACTGCTCACAATAGCCAAAAGCAGGAAACAACCCCACTGTCCACTGACTGGAGAATGGATAAAGAAAATGTTGCATATGCAGAAATGGAGTATTATTCAGCCACAAAAGGAATGCAGTACCAATACACATATACCACTACGTGGATGTACCTAGTAAACACCATGCTAAGGGAAGAAGCCAGACACACAGTGCCACATAGTATATAACTGCATTGATATGAAATGTCCATTCTAGGCAAATCCATAGACAGAAAGCAGATTTGTGGTTGCCATGAACTAGGGGAAGGAAATGAGGGTTGACCACTTGATGAGGAGGTACAGTGTTTCCTTTTAGGGTGATGAAAAAGTTTGGAATTAGACAGTGGTGATGGTTACATAATATTGTGAATGTACTTTATGGCACTGAACTGTATACTTTAAAATGATAAACTGAAAAAGAAAACTACATGGAATTTTGTTTTTTTAATGTTTTCTTGTTTTTTTAATTATTATTTTTTTCTTTATTGATTTTAGAGAGAGATGAAGGGAGGGGGGAGAGAAATATCTCTCTCTCAACTGGCTGCCTCCTGCATGCCCCCCACTGGGAATCGGGCCCACAACCTGGGTGTGTGCCCTGACTGGGGATTGAACCCGTGACCTCTTAGTGCATGGGTCGACACCCAACCACGGAGCTACACCAGCCGCGTTTACAATTTTTTCTCTTTATTGATTTTAGAGAGAAAGGAAGGGAGAGAGAGAAACATCAATGAGAGAGAACATTGATTTGCTGCCTCCTGTATACCCCCTCCCCCCACTGGGGTTTGGCCCACAGCCTGAGCATGTGCCCTGACTGGGAATCAAACCGGTGACCGGTGCACGGGTCGATGCTCAACTACATGGAACTTTAACTACTGAAAAATAAGAAACAAACAAAGACTATATTGAAAGGTAAAGGTGAAATTCATTTTAAAACTGAAAGAGTTCCTGACCAATAAACATTCTGTGTTCTGTGGGATGGTGCTGGTGTTGCCCTGTGTCTGTATAGATTTTGACACCAGTATGCACCCATCAGAAGCCCTGAGTGCCCAGCCTGTACAGGTGGAGGCTGTACACACCGTGTGCTAAAGGACTGCGAGTACCAGAGCCCACTCACGTCTACATCTAAGGGCAGGACAGGTAAGCATTGCTTGAGTGGAGGAGAGCATTTAAGATTACCATGAGCAACGCAGAACAAACATACCTTGACCCTAAAGGGAAGCCAGTCTCTTCTCTCCCTCTGCCTCTCTTCTCCTCCAGTATTTATAAGATGTTCCTATTTCATTTGCTATTTTTTGTTTGAACTCCTTACCCTGTTTCGAGGTGACCTGTTATTCACACAAGCCCAAGCCTACCTGCTGACCCCCCTGGGTCCAGGCAGATCTCCAATATGAAAAAAGATCACCAATAACCAGAGTGGGAGTTGATCGGAGCTGCTGGAGAAACAGTGAACCTGGGCGTGGCTCTTCCTTCCTCTCCAAGTGGCCCAGGGGAACCACAAGCAAGCATCTGGACTGACCTGGTCCCTTCAACAGGTCCATGACAAGAACGCAACAAAGGAGGGTGGACGGTTCACAGTCAGAAGAGACTCTGAGTCATTAACAACCAAACACAACATGGGGACCTGCTGTGGATTCTGATTGAAGAAATCAATTGTAAAACAATATTTTGGGAATACTCGAGGCATTTTGAATATGAAAGGGGCAGTGATGACTCTAAATAAACACTTATGATTAATTTTTCCAATTGACAACAATATTAAGAATATATGAGAAAATGTTAAGTCTTATAGATGTACACTCTCACCGAGTTGCTTTAAAATACCACACACACACACACACACACACACACACACACAAGATAACACCCAATGTTGGTCATTGTTAAACCTAGATGTGCACCACTACATCTAGATGGGAATTTGCTATACTCCTCCTCCCATCATCATGCTATTCAATCCTGCCGTGCGTATCTGCAAATACTCACAATGAAAAGTAACTGCCCGAGCCAACGCCCCACTCGTGAGCCAGTTATAAGGCCGCTTTGCCACACTTCCTCACTGCTCCTGCAGAGGAACCCAAAGGACCCTTTCATCACCACCCTCCTCCCAATTTATTGAAAATAGGAGATGGAAACAAATTTCAGGCACTAATTAACCACCTCTTTGTCTCTGACCGGGAATGCGGCGGATTCGATGGACCAGCCACGTGAGAGAGATGTGACAGCTGCCATCCCAGTGTTCTCACGTCTAATTACCTCACAGGAAAACACAGCCACAGTGTTGCTGCTTCTCCAGGACGCTTTCTCCATCTGTTCACAGAACACGGCTGGCCCAGTGCCTCTGAGGTGTCAGGCACTAGGTTTGGCACCGAGGGTGCGGCAATGATCAAGACAGCTGCGCACCTGCCCCCACCAGGCTTCCAGACCATAAACACCAACTCATATGTGCATGACGGTGCCCCATGGACAGTGCCCATTTTCTAAGAGTTACAACAGTCTGCGGTGGGGGAAGAGATTTTGGAATGACCACAAACCACTCGAAACAGAAAGAGGGATTCTTAGGCAGAATGTTTATGAATGGGAAGGAAATATTAGGGTCTCCGTTAAATATTTATGTGGACAGACACATGCCAACAAGCCTAAGATAGCAGAAACCTATAAAACGATGCCCTGTGGGGGTACAGATATGGAGAGAAAATGTCCTCACTCCATGTGAGATCGACAGTGACAACAACATGGCCCACTCCGCTCGGCGAGGGCGAGCCACAGGCCCGTGGACTCCTGGCCAGTGTTGTCCTGAGAAGCAGTATCTGCTGCAGCCTTGGGCACAGTCCTCCCCTCGCCTGGCCCATGCCCAGCTCCTGCAGAGGAGCCAGACAAGATGGTGGAGGGGTGTCCTTTCCCTCTCTGCTTGGGAAGAAAGCTCCCGAGTCATGAGCCAGCTGAGTGAAGCTCAGTGGTAAGGCCCCCCTGGGACAGGTAAGTGTTCAACTGCACAAGGAGAAACCCATTTACTTTCTGGTCCTCAGTCTAAAACCACGGACCGAGTGGGTGGAAGAAAAGGTGTCTCAATGGAGAGTCCCACCAGGAAACAACCCTAAAAGGGTTCATTGGTTTCCTAGGGCTACCATAACCGATTGTCACAAACCGGGTGGCTCACAGCCACAGAAACTTATTCTATCACAGTCTGGAGGCCAGAAATCCCCAATCAAGACGTCGGCAAGGCCATGTTCCCTTCTCAGGCTCTAAGGAAAACCCTCCTTCCTCTTCCAGCGCCTGCTGGTTCCAGGCTCTGCCTGTCCTCAAGCGGCCTCCTTCTCTGTGTGTCTCCTTCCTGTCTCTTCCAGGTCACTTGACATTGGGCTGGCCCAGCTGGCTAATCCAGGATGATCTCATATCGAGATCTTGACCTTAATTACATTTGCCAAGACTACTTTTCCAAATAAAGTCACATCCGCAGGTTCTAGGGGTTGAGACGGGACACATCTTTTGGGGGTGGAGCACAACCAACCCTTCAAGGACTGTGGCATAACCAAGCCTGCAAGGGAGAGGAGACACAGCGACGTGGTCAACCCAGCGAGCGAGCCCACAGCACCAGATGCTTAAAAAAAACAAACTCATTCTCTTTGGAAATCAGGAATATCTGCTTTAATTTCACACTAAGTCAATATGGCAGTGTCACCCTGTTCTTCAAATTACAGCCCTACTTAACCTCTGTGCTTTGTCTTCCTTGTCTGAACACTAGAACAGGTAGCAGTTATCTACCCCACAGGGGGCCTTACGTGAGTTAAGGTATGTATGTTGCTTAGGGGAGTACCTGGGACTTAATAAATGTTAGTTTCCATTATCAGCAGTATCGTCGTTATTGGCATTGGGTACCCCATGTCCCTCCAGCTCTCCTTGACCACCTCCCCTTTCCTGAGACCTTCCGTGCGCCTCTGCTACCTGAGCAGGCCAAGGCACAGCCTCATTTCTTGTCTGCTTCTTGGAAGAGGTTAATTACAAAGCCCCCTCTCGCCCCAGATACAAATCCAAAATACGACAGATACCACAAGCCTAGAAAAATGTGCTGTTTGCCATCAGACCGTCACATGAAATGATCACGTGGTTTCCTTAAGTTCGTCCTATTTACTTCATCCCCCACCTTGTTTCGGAAAGGACTCAAACAGACACAGTCAAACACAATGTCATTAAAATAAAAATAAGTGAAAAAAATAAGTGGATGAGGGAGAAGGAACAAAAATAAGATCTGAGACATCAGAAATGATCAAATGAAGCCAGGAGTGATATTAGTTTAAAAAAACGACACTCGATATCCTGTGCACCTGTTGGAAGTGGCCACAGTCCGGCTCTGAGCTCTCCGCACGTGATCCAGACGGAAAGCCTGACCTGCAAAACAATTCTTCGTCTCCTTAAGATGAAAATCGAGGGGGAGGTAGAAGAGGAAAAAGGAATTTGCTCCTGGTAGTGGGACAGAAACGTCCCTCAGGCCCTCGTACAGATGGCATAATCGACTATATTTAGTTGCTTATCTAAATCATAGCTATCTAACTCCAGGTGTTCTTTCCTTTTACAGACACTATTGTCTTACCCACCCCTACCGGGAAGGATCAATTAGACGAGAGTGAGACGGGTAAATGAGGAGGGCTATGGATTCAGGGGGAGGGTGTAAACGACAGGAGGCTTCTTGTTTGGGACAAGTAGGCACACACACAGGGTTTCCCAATAAAGAGTAGACTTTTTTTGTTCTTTGGAGGGGGTTGAAAGCCTGTTTATTTTTTAATTACAAAATTTTACCTTTTAGAGAGGTTTTATGTTCGCAGAAAAATTGAGCAGAACTACAGAGTTCCCATGCTCCCCCCTTCCCTCCCCGCCACACACAGCCTCTCCTGCCGCGCTCATCCGGTAGCACATGGCACATTTGTCACAAACCAACCAACACGGACACCTCGTTACCTCCCAGAGTCCACGTTTTACTTTGGGGTTCACTCTTGGTGTGGTACCTTCTATGAGTGTGAACAAATGTATGATGACATGTACCCTCTACTAAAGTTCCACTGAAAAATCCCCTCGGCTCTGCCTAATCACCTCTCCCTTCCCCCAACAGGCACCCCTGATCTCTCGACTGTCTCCACAGCTTTTTTTGTCATTAGGTTGGAATCATAGAGCGTAGCCTTTTCAGATAGGCTCCTTTCATTTAGTAATACCCATTTACATGTCTGTTCACAGCTTAATAGCTAATCCCCTTTCTAGCACTGAACAATGTTACATTGTCTAGATATACCACCGTTTATCCATCACCAACTAAAGAACATCTTTTTATTATTGTTAAAAATTTATCTTTACTGTTGAAAGTATTACAGATGTCCCCCTTTTACCCTCCTCCCCACTCCTGCCCCCCTCCTACCTTCCCCACACTATTTTTTTTTGCAATTTTTATTAATTTATTTTTGTTACAGATGCCCCCCCCCACCCCCCGCCAAGATACCCTCCTCCAGATCCCCCTCGCTCCAGCACTGTTCTATGTCCACTGGTTACGCATATGTGCATATAAATTCTTTGGTTTATCTCATCCCTCCCACCCGCCCCTTCCTCTAAACCGTACTCCTTTCTATATCTCTGGGTCTATTTTGTTCATCAGCTTATTTTGTTCATTATAGTCCACAGATAAGTGAGATCACATGGTATTTGTCTTTCTCTGATTGACTTATTTTGCTTAGCATAATATTCTCCAGGTCCCTCCATGTCGTCTCAAAGGATAAGAGATCTTTCTTTCTTACAGCTGCATAGTACTCCATCGTGTATATGTACCATAGCTTTTTATCTACTCATCTACTGATGGACACTTGGGCTATTTCCAATCTTAGCAATTGTAAATAGTACTGCTATGAACACAGGGATACATATATTCTTTCTGATTGGTGTTTCAGGCTTCTTAGGGTATATTCCTAGAAGTGAGATCACTGGGTCAAATGGCAGTTCAATTTTTAATTTTTTGAGGAAACGCCATATTGTTTTCAAGACAAGAAATGTTTAACCACTATGCTGCACACCTGAAACTAATATAATATTGAATGTCAACTGTAAATAAAAAATAAATAAAGAGAAATGGAAAAAAATTAACAAACGACTTTTTTAAAAGACAAAAACAAAAGTTTCCTTCACATAGAGAATACTGGGAAGCAATCAGTGTGTTCCAGGCCCCACATGAAGCCCCAGAGCTTCCTGTCCTCTGATCCACACACACAAACATATACATGCATACACACATTCACACACATGCATGCATACGTGCATGCACATGTGTACTTGCATATACACAGAGACACATACATACACGTATGCACCCAGGTGTGTGAACATATGTGTGTACAGCTACATATACACACGTGCATACACATGCACACACATGCACACATACACTCAGTCACACATACTCACACCCATCACACTCACCTTGTTCAGCCACTTCAGCCCTGGTATCGTGTTGGAGTTTATCTGTTCCTCCAGCCATGGGCGCATGCGCATCCTTTCCACCGGCATGGTGCCCCCCTGCAGAGAGATACACAACATTAGGCATGTATGCTCCTGGCATGTCCACACTGCAAAGTCTACGCCGAAGCCTGACCCTCTTCTATTGTCCCTTCCTCATCACCTCACAGCTCATGTGTCCGTGGGGTTGGGAGGGGGCACACTGGGTGGCTCTGCCCGAGAGCCGCCTGCCCTGCTTGGGCAGCCGGGCCATTCCGCAAGGGCTGTCTTGGTGGGCAGTGCTGCAGGTCAGGCCTGCTCTCGGCTGGGACGGTCCCATGGACGAGGCCGAACTGGCAGAAACTCAGGTAGCCAGACAGCCCAGCCACCTCTGAGTGACCTTGCCTAAAGCTAGGTCCTACCTCCTTCCAACAAGCTGTGTTAAAGCACACACCCTCCATGTCCCAGGCATTCAGAGCATTGGTATTGCGCAACACCTGAAGGTATTATCCTCCCAGGGACCAAGGGGGGACAGTGCAAAACAGTTGTGGGAAAGACTTCTTATAACCAGTCCTTTCCTTTGGGATACCTGGGTTACAAAAATGCTTTGAACCCCCAATATTGCCACTTTAAAGCTCTAAAAGAATCAGTTCACTTGGGTCTAAAGTCTTGCACCAAATAGCACTCCCGTCCCCCCTGATGCATTCCGTCTCCTCTCGGGGCGCATGCTCACCAGCACTTGCTCGGGCTTCAGCCTGGCTTTCCGAGTATGCACGCTCTCATCCACTCCCACAAGGACCCTCTCGCTGCGCCCTCCCGCTCGGGCCTGGTGCGGCCTCCCTTTTCCTTTAACATACTTTCCCTCTGAAAATTGTTTCCTAGGCTACACACCTCCTCTCTACCAGCTCACAAAATGCTCTTCCCCTCCTTCCCTGTCCATCAAAATATACGCCAAGTACAGTCACTGACAAAGTACGGTGTACCCTCATCTTCATCCTATGTAGGCAAACATTTCAATTTAATGCCGATTCAAAAGCCAAGATGGTGCCAGTTCAAGCCTCCATACTATAGGACTTCATGGACAGTGTGACCCAATCCTCTTTCCACACTTAGCTGTCTCTTCTTTCTTTCACTCATTTCCTCAACAACAACAAAAAAAGAGCTCTGAAGATTTTATTCAGATGAATTTGAACTGAGATGATCAAAGCCTCATTAATTCCCTCTTCCAGCTCCCAAAGGACATCCTCCCTCCTCTGTGCCCTGCCCCCAGCTCATGCCAGAGGGCCGGCATCATTATGTGAACCTCAGGGGCCGCACCCTTTGCCTATAGAGCCTAATTAAATTCGAGAACTAAATTCGAGAACCCGCCTTTCCCTTGCACATCTCTCCCACTTCGGATGCAATGCTTTGAACCCCCAATATTGCCACTTTAAAGCTCTAAAAGCGTCATCGCTGCAGATGCTTCTGCTCCCTGCTCACACCGTGCCCTCTGCTCCTTTCCTGGGCTTGCCAATCCTCACCCCTCCTCCCCACAGGACTTGCACACCACACCAGCCGAAGGATCCCTCCTCCTCCCCCCACAGCACTCACTGATCTTACATGCTCATTTGAAAGCCAAACATGGCATTAGGAAAGCTATTGGACATTGTCTTCATTCTTATCTAACTCTTACCTTAACCGTGAACTTTCAGCAGTATACACTTTCCCTTCCTAACCAAACTGTAAGTTCTTTGAGGGTAAGAACTCCACCTCTTATAGGTCGTGTTATAACCCTACAAAGCCAAATGCTGCCTGCCACCCGGGAGACCTTCAGTACAAAAACCAGGCCAGCTCTGAAGATGTCAGGTGGGTTGCTATTGCAGGTTGGCTCCATCCACTCACCTGGAGGGGCCACCATTCTTTGAGACACGTGAAAGGAACTTCAAGGAAAGTCCAAAAGGCCATGGAACAGCTGCAAGGAGCCCCAAATACAGCTACTGTTAGTGTTTCTCAAGTCGTCCCTCTCATTCATTCAAAGATCATTTATTGGGAATGATAGTCCAGGAGCAGGAAAAGTAAGACATTCCCTGCCCTCCAGGAACTCCTAGCCTACTAGAAGACAGGAAAGACGAGAATTATCATAACACGCACAGAGCCCCCTACCTACAGAATGACAAGGAATTATGGGAGAGCTCTGGGGGCATCAGGAAAAGCTGTCCACAGATGACCCTCCTGGGTGACCTACCACTGGGAGGGATCTGCCCAACGGGATGATGGCCGCCAACCTGGCCTCATGGTCTCAAAACCCAGAGAGAGGGCAGCTAAATCCAGAGCAGTAAAGAACGTAGAGAGAGGAGTAGGAGGAGTAGCTAGGATAGTCACAAGTTCTTCTGAGGGCACAGCATGACAAGTAGAACTGCTGTGGACCACTACCATCCTGGTCTAGCAGAACCTAGCAATATGGAAAATGACAGGGATTTGAAAAAGGCCCTGCTTCCAATTCATCATTATAATCATATTTCCTCCCATATATATATATTTTAAATATTTTTTATTGATTTTTAGAGAGAGAGGGAGAGAGAAAGATAAACATCGATGTGAGAGCAAGACATTGATTGACTGAGCAACTGAGCCTGAAACCTGAGTATGTGCCCTGACCAGAAATTGAACCCACGACCTTTTGGTGCACGGGAAGAAGCCCAACCAATTGAGCCACACCAGCCAGGGCTCTTCCCATATTTTTTTTTCATAAATGACCCATTTAGGAAGAAAATGGTCACCTGAAATGTTTCAAAAAGCTTGCTGTCTTTAAAATGAAAGCTTACATGGAGAGGTGCAGTCAACCTCATTATTTGCGGATTGCATATTTGCAAAGTCGTCTACTCACTAAAATTTATTTGTGATGCCCAAATCAATTCTCGGGGTACCCGCATGGTCATTCGCAGACATGCACAGAGAGGTGAAAATCTGGGTCATCCAACATACACACTCCCAGTGGAGGTCCGACGGGATGACCTTCTGCCTTGCTTCAGCTCACACTGTAAACAAGTGTCCTTTCCGCTGCCTATTTCATGCAACACTTTTCTCATTGTCCGTGTTTACTGTTGAAAATGGCCGGCAACAAAAGAAACAACCGCAAAACAAACAAACGAAAAACGGCCAGCAAGAACGGTCTGTGTGACGTGCGGTCCAGGGTTCCAAGCGCAAGAAGGCTGGCATGTGCCTTATGGAGAAAATAGATGCATTTCAGGCACGAGGTACAGTGTTGCTGGCTGTGGGTTCAATGTTAATGAATCAATCATTATCAAATAAGGAGTCTTTCAATGGAAGCACACATGAAACAAGGTTACTGACTGGTGGATGAAAATGCTGTGACCAGAGGCTCACAGGAACCTAATGTCCTTATGAGAAGAGGGGAATTCGGACAGAAACGCACAGAACACGCCACCTGAAGACACAGAAGCCGAGGGAAGGGGGCCACGTGAGGACAGAGACTGGAGCGCTGCTGAAGAGCAAGGAAGGGTCCTCCCCTAGCGGCTTCGAGGGAGAACAACCCCACACACGTTGATTTTGGACTTCTGGCCTCCCAAACTGAAGAGAATAAATGTCTGTTGCTTTCAGCCACACAGTTCGTGGTACCTGATTATGGCAGCCCTGGGAAATCAATCCAGAAGGCTCTCTCAGTCAGCTAACAGGCCAACCTAGACTACAGCGGAAGGCGCCCCAAGGCAGTGAGAAGTTAGGGGAGACACTGTGAAGACCCCAGGGCAGGACCAGCTGCCAGAGGACACCGGGAACAGGGAGGATGCCAGAGACAGGGTGACAGCAGGGCGGGGAACCATGCCGGGGACGTTGCCCACCACCCCAAGGCTGCAGAGAAAACTGGAGACTCGCGTGAACGAAAGCTATGACCAGTTTTACTAAGAGCGAAGGTAAGGGCCGATTACAAAATCCAGACCAGCGCTTTACCGACTTGAACGTGCAGACAAGCCTCAGTTTGGTGAGTCTAGGTAAGCCCTGTGATTAACAGGCTCCTGGGCCCTTGGCCCACACTAAGGCTGTAGATTAACGTGTACTTTTACGAGTCGTCTGGCTCTTCCGTGACTTCCTGCGAAGTCTGGTCATTCTGGCAGACAGACCTCATTAGTGTCACTGTCGGACTTGGCTGCGTCATCTCTCTGTTGGTCCAACCCTTATGTACATACGAAGCCTTTCTAACCAGGATGTAGCTCAGCCAAACCCCCAAGTTTATCACAAAATACTACGGAAATCACACGTGTAACATTTCCTCTAAATCTATTACCAGGATTGTCATTCATTAGAAGCAGGTGTTTAGGGAAAGTAAATATAGCAAGTGTCTTACTGGAGAAGAGAAAGTCTGCTGTAAGGGGCTCACCTTTTTCAAGTTCTTTTCTTTTCCATTCTCAGAAAATCATTATTTTATTGAATTTCTTACTGTCGGCCATCTTCTATATAATTACAGGACCACTTTGAACACACTGAAGACTCTCAGAATATCACCACTGGGATTTTCTCCAAGTCTTCATAAATATTGTGACTAAGAAAGCAATGTCAAGGGACATTATCATCTTGGACTGTGATTCACATGAATATGAATTAGTAACACCAAATAACCAAAGCGATTTATATCTGTCGATGTGATTCTTTTTTTTTTTTTTTTTTAATAGCTGGGACATCCCTGCTGATACACGACGAAAAGCTTATCTTTTTACATGAAGGCACTTCCTCTTTTTCACTTGATTTTATAGCCGGGTCCCACCTCCCACACTGAATGGGTAATGAGTTACAGTGGTCCTGGCACATGACACAAATGAGAAAGGGCAGTTTGATACAGATTGCTCATGACTGTCAGAATTTGAGTATGCACTGTTAATTCTGTAAAAGAGAGCAAAGGTAGAGTTCTACATTGAGTCAAACACCAGCAACTCATCATTTAGCTTGGCGCTAAAAATACATTCTGTTTCCAGAGATGAAAAGGCTCGGAGGACAGTTGCAGAGGGTCATGGGGTTGAGTACTGAGAGGCTTACTCCGCGTGTATTGTCCACCAATGAAATTCAGCGACAGGTTGGTCTTCTTTCTA